AATAAGCTAGTCAAGAAGTCACTTTAACAGGTAACAAACTGATGAGCAGTTATGCTGCTGCCTCCGTTTCTACCTGTTTATGTTTCTGCAGTAGAATCACAGTGATGCTTTAAAGTCTCTTTGTGCTGGTGTGTGTTGGTGTGCAGGGCTGTAGCCTGTAGGGTTGTATTGTTGACATGAAAGTAATATAACAAGTAGTATAATGAATGTCTTTCTACTGGGTGTAATTATATAAAGTACTCCATTACTTTTAAGAAAAGTGTTGTGTGCAATATGTGTAATAACTTTTTTTACTTTACTTTTTTTGAGCAATGAATTCAACACTAATCACAACAAAGACGGCCAATACCGCCAACATTCACAAACATTTGACTTAGTAGCATGTGATTCATTTGCATGAATGTAATGTCTTTGGTATGCTGATTAGAGATCAAGGTGACAATGAGCCAATGAGAACTTATCTTATCAGTTCCCATCCCCAGTGGTATATTTAAATAAACTATAAATAAATAAATAAATAAATAAAATCCTGAGCAGGTAACTCACCAGCAGTTTCCACCTTTGACTTCCATTTATAAAACAGTAGTAGTAAAACCACCTGCACCACAATGACAACCATCGTAGCACAAACCGCAGTAAATATGACAATCAGGGTGTAAACTATAAGAGACAAAGCAAGAAATTAGGAAGTTGATCAGGTGTGGTTTGCATTTTAACGAATACCTGCAAGATTTGGTGTTGAATAAACATGATAAATACACTTTTCTTCATACCGGTAGTGTCTATTTAAGACAGTGACCAAGCTCTGCCATTCCACATAGCACCTTATCTCTTCATTTTATTCATTTAATGTAGGTTTTGGATGATTTTTTTTTTTAAAAAGTAAAGTAAAATCTGCCCAACATGAGCTGTTCTACAATCCCTAAAGCTACTTTTAGCTCAACTTTTGATCAGAAATAATTTCACAGTTATTTTGGTAGCTAGAAGAGCACAGAAGCACTAGAATCGTTAGAAAGTCATGAAAGTCATGAAAATAACAGTACAGAAGAACAGAGCTGAATCCACTGCGGCTGCCTGACTAAAACCTGATGAAAACACTGCCCCCTTGTGGTAATAATTTTCATTAAATACTGTAGAGCAGGGCTGCCCAATCCCTGTCCTCAAGAGCTACTATCCTGCAGCTTTTTGTAGTATCAGGTAAATGTTAAGTGGTAGGAACGTTTCTGCTGGGTTGTTGTTGTGGGGGGGTGGGGGGGGGGGATGAAAAATAATAAAGGACACTCATTGGAGTAATGGCGCGTCTCGTGTGTCTGTGAGTTATGCCTCCAGTCAAATAACATCCATAACCTCAAATAACGGAACACTTTTAGATGCATCCCTACTCCAACACAGCTGAATCAAATGGTTTGATTACCTCTTCAGCATGCCATCATGTTTGGCAAAGGCCTGATAACAAGCCATTCATTTGATTCGGGTGTGTGGGAACAAGGATGCATCTAAAAGCTGCAGGACGGTAGCTCTCGAGGACCGGGATTGGGCACCCCTGCTGTAGAGCGTTTACCTATTGAACTTTTCAAAGCAGCTGTGCTGTTTAAGCACAATACAATGCTTTCTCTCTCAATCCAATTAAAGTATCCAAGTTGCTACTGATTGTTCTTGTTTTGTTCAGACTCTGTTGATGGACGCTAAAAAGTTGAAAAGATCATGAACACTTAAATACTGCAGGTGGTTAAGTGGTCTGAGTACAGTATTTGGTGTCAACTGATTTATGTACTACATACGACAATATGTAGTACATAAATCATATGTATTATTACATATTGTAGCCATAACTACAATATGTGGTCTACTAAAAAGACAAGCAGGAGAATAACCTGGGGTCCGTTCTTCGTACCTCGCTAAGTAAGTTAGCTGGATTTGATTGCTGATGATTTCGCGTGGTCTTGGATCGTTCGGTTCTCCGAAGCTCATCCGGGACTTGCTGTCATAGCAACAGATCCGTAAGCGTAAACCTGCTCGGGAGCAGGTTCACTTTATGTAAACAGGATTAGATCGCGGCCACTCAGGTATGTCCGCTTCATTTATACGAAAGCAACAGCGATATTTTACCACTGTTTCACCATAAATAAATATTATCAATGTAACTAAAGATAATGCAGCACTTGATCCTTTTATTGATTTCATGCAGATACATACAGGTCATTTCCTAAAAAAAGGGAAATGTACTATTAATCATTCTATTTCATGTATTTGATTATTTCAGATGTAATTCACAGTTCAGAGTAGTAATAGTAAATTACTTCATGTAAGCAAGATGAGAGACCACGGCTATAAAAGCGAAGGTGGATTTGAGAAGTCTGTCGCAGCCATGTCCTGTCCGTATACGCGACCAACCCATTGCGGAAGGTGCAAGATTGATAAGGAGAGTTCTCAGAATTCAGCATATATCCGGTTGTTCAGTCTGACGTCACTAGCCGTGTCTGGACCTAAACTCCGCTGCAGGTCCATATATCAAACGATCACTATGGCATTACTGAGAGTTGAAAAACTGTCTAAAGTCTTTCATCTTTAATAAAATGATCAGCTGTAGGACTGCAAGGTAATTAAAGCCAAGAAGGTGGATTAATACCTGTAGTTGATTTCTCAGCCAGCTCCCGTTCATACAGTTTGGTGGTTGTAGGGAACATGGTTGACGCTGTGAACAGTGAAAATTACATACTGTAATTTTCCACAGTCACTTTAGCTTTTTCTTAATTTTGTTTTATTAAACACAGGAGATGAAACTGTATGAAATAGTCATAGAAAGTCGAACTGAACTGACTCAATGTTGCCTTAACATATTCACACTTACACTCCCTGAATCTCACACAGGGAAACTCCCATAGAAGTGGGAGACTTACTTTGTAAGGTGTGTTTTACCTGAAATTGGATCGCTTGTGTCTTCAGGTGTTGACACCTCAGGCAGCTCTGTGCTTTTCTCTGGATACTGAGCTGTAAAAATGAAATAAAATACAGTGAAAATGAGATGCAGTCAGTAATATTATAAAGGATATACTTGCATTTAAATAGCTGTGGTACATGTCTTAAAAATGTCTGAAACCCAAAACAATATAGATAAATATAGAAAACAATTATTTGTACGTTTAGTGCATTTTAAAATGAGGAAGTAGTGAGCCAAGAATGTGCACTGCTGAGCCACATTTAAGCCTAATATAGCACCGCTATTCCTTCACTACATTTATTGAAATTGAAATTACCTGTTTTTTCCTTACTAAGTATGGAAGTTTTATTAATTAATTGATCTCAGCATTTTCAGTCTTTTCATTTGAATGACTCTGTCTTCTTTTTACTTAATGAGTTCATTCAACTCAATAAAGTTTTCAAAAACTTTGCAGACTTAGCAGCTCTCCAGAACCTTCTTTTACACTTTAAAGAACCCGTTCCTGATGAAAACTAATACTTTTGTCTCTACATAATACATACAATGATATTAACTATTGCAAATGATGGTATTGGCTTGAGTCCCTACCAGTAACACCTGCTTCTAATACTTCCAAAAGTTCTACTATGGAAAGAAGTCGATCTACATGATAGATCATTTCTGCCGCTTGTATCCGCGATCTTGATCTTTTGGTCACTACCCACAGCTTGTGACCATAGGTGAGGATAGGCACATCTTTATTGATTAGAGTTTGTTACAGTTTTCAAACCTGATTTTGCCTCAGCATGGTCATTATGCTTCTGATAAAATTAAACTATTTACCCCATAGTCTCAAAGTTATTTACACATTAAAAAAAGTGACAGCGTGACAGGTTTCTCAAAGAGAAAGTGGAAGAAAAACGTTTAAGGAAACTTTCCAAACTTCCACCGGTCTGTTTATGCTTACTTTGTTTCACAGAGTGTAAACATCAGTGTCATAATAAATATCATTATCATTCTGTTTTAACACACACAGACACAATAACACAAATGAGCCTGTCTACAGTTGAATTTCGATTTCATTACAAAATACCAATTAATTTTGTATTTGTGTGGTAAAAAGAAAATCCTTTATTGTGCCAATATCATATTTTGTTTGTAAAAAAAGAAACATGAATTTTAATTTCAAATTGAAAGACCTCAGAAATGTCTTATATGCGCAATTTTTCTCTGAAACTAGAAGGCTGTTATAAGGAAACTTCCTGTTTCCACAGACCAGTTTATACGTAGATCAACAGAATACGCCCTCATATTGTTACTCAGTCAATATCACACGTCAGTCTGATTTTGGATTTCATAATAATAGCCTTGTGAAATCGCTACCATGATCTTGTTTGTGTGTGAATTCAGAATCTATTGCAAGGAAAGTTTTTGTTTCCACAGACCAGTGGAAGAGTAGATGACAGGGTACACACTCAGCGTTACTTTATGGAACTTTGGATTTCAAAATAATAGCGCTTCAGATGCGTTTATATCAGCTACTTTTTCATCTAGTTTCAGAATGCACATTTTTAAATTTAGGTATTCATTTCTATTTCAAAACAAACAAATGAAAAAACAACCAGTACCCGGAAGAGAAAAATATGTCCTTTCCCCCTCTTTTTTTGAAAAAGAAAAATGCAGTTCTGCCACCAGCATGTTCATGTTCTTGCATTTTTAGAAATTTCAAAATGATATACTCATTGAGCGTGCTTCCTCATAGCAGCTGTTTTCCTGCAATCTCTCTTGTGAAATCTTAAAGTAATTACAACACCTTAAAGGTCAGTGAGGGTTCATGAAAGAGCATACAGTTAATCTTATAATTAAAAAAAAACTAAACAAAAAAAACTTTCTTATTTCATATCTTTATAAGAAAAAAATACCAATAACAGCTTTCTTTCAAAGTCATCTGACCGTGACTTAGCTAAATCAAGTGTCCTGCTGTGACTGTATTAAGAGAAATGATGCAAAAATTTGGGTGGAGAGTAGGGCTGACTGTTTGTTTAGCAGAACAACTTCTTCATTTAGAAATAAGGAGTTTCTGATATGACAGTGAAATTCGAGGATTCGAGTGATAAAGTCTCAACATGAAAGTCCGTCACATTGTTATCTGCTTCATCTTCCTCAGTAAGTACATTTACCTGTATTATTTCTAAAGGTTTTTGTCATTTGATTTAATTTTTAAGATTCATTAGTCACTATGGAGATTTTACCTTCATCACTCTGACACCACTTGTCTCTTTCTTGCATTTCATGTATTTCTCAGAATAGTTTATACATCAACACAGGAACACATTTATTCTGATTAACCAAAGAGCCTTTTCCAACTATATTAGCATTTTCTAAACCAAACTTTTTTTTGTTAACTTGCATTCAGAGCCTCAGGAATAGTCGTGAGGTTGAGTAACATAATCAACATATTATAACATAATCAAACACCCTTTCGCAGCAGTGGTGAACTACTGCTTAATGTTAAACGGGTCTTGTGCTGCTCATAATTAGCCAAAGACTTACCTTGATTTGGGTGCACAGTTATGATATTGTGACTTATAATGTGACTTGGTGATAAATTTCTTCATGAGGGGCACTGATGTGTTCAAAATGTCTGTGAAGACATTAATAAAACAACAGTGCGTGAGTCACTTTTGCATTATGGTGGTCTGTCAGTAATGCTCACTTGGATGAGGCCACTGACATGGGTAAACACAGCAGCAGCTGCAAGCTCGTTACCACAGCTGTGGTAATTATCAGATACCAGCCCATTTGAACCAGCCGGAAATTATGCAAAATGATCTGTCAGCTCATTTTGCATAATTTCGTGTTAATGGTGACGAAGAGGCTACGTGTAAAATCATAAGACCATATGTTTGAAAAATCCTTACTGATTTATTTACCACAGCTGTCCAACTCATGTATTTCTTAGATAAATAATATTTTAAGTGTTTTAACACCTTTGTTTATTTTACTAAATTATTACATTGTGCATTTATTTATTTATTTTTGCACTTGACTGGGAATGCAGTGATCTTAGCTTTACACAGGGGGTGCTGTGGCACCCTCAGCACTCCCACAGCGCCACTTGAATTTTGCCAATGCACTTTATAAAGTTCATAAAAGCAGAATGAGTCTCTTGGTGGAGCTGAGGCTTAAATACTTGTGAAAACAAAGCAGACTTTCACAAGTAAGTACGTCTTCAGCTTCAGTATCCACTGAAAGAACATCAGCATTTAGTTGATGGTTAAAGGATAAAATTAAGCAAGAAAATCAACCTAGGTGAACATAGAGAGATTCTAAATATTAATTACAGCTGATAAAACGTTAATATAGTATTTCAGGTGTTAGGAAATGTGGATATTTGTACAGAGAATTATTGTTAAATCAATTTGTTGATCTTCAAATTATCATCAGACCCGAATATCTATTTGAGTGATAGTAATGATTTACTAATCTTTTCCATAGCACTGCAGGATGGAAACACTGTTCCTTACAATGCAAAGATTGCCATGCACACAGGAGTGGAAGGAGGAAACATCACAGTTAAATGTTCATTTTATATCTTTGGAAAGTGGAAGCTCTTATGTAAGGACCAATGTGAAAGGGGAAACATTCTCATTGAAACAGCCGACCTTGTAGCTCAAAGAGGCAGATACTTTATTAAATACAAAGAAGAAGAGTTTCCAACACGTCATGCAGTTTTTTATGTCAGCATCACACAGCTGGAAAAATCTGACTCGGGGCTGTACCGGTGCTATTTGGACAGAGACTTGGATCCATATTTGTTTGATAGCTTTCAGCTCACGGTGACAGAAGGTGAGTTTTTACTAGTCATCATTAACATGCAATATTTTCATTGCTCACTGATAACTTCTTTACATCAGTAATGTTTCTGATTGTGTCCCTGTTTGCAGCATCAACAGCTTCAACACCAGCATTGGGCCCGCAATCTTCTTCAACTTCCACAGCAATCACTAAACAGCCTGAAATAACATTTGTAAATTCAGGTGCAGTGAAATATATTTCACAAGTTATTTCTCTCAATCCAGAAACATGAAGGGGTAGTTTTTCTATACATAAATACATACATACATACATATATAAGAACAGTAGTTTTTATACAAAGATTATATTCTCCCATATTTTGGTCTTCTCTTTTCTCTCTGCAGGTTTTCTCTGGCCTGTGGTTATAGCTGTAGTCATGGTGTTTTTGGTGTTGTTTGTTGTTGTGCATCTCATCTGCAAAAAGAAGACTACGGGCTCTTGTGAGTTATGTTTCACCTCTTTGGCACCTTTATGATAAGCTGATTAGTGATTCTAATGTGTGGATTTTTAACCCTGTAACCGACTGCTGACATTTGTGGAGCGCACAGAGTGTACAGTCTCCAACCAGCCTTACATCTAAGAATATTTCATGTTTGTCTAATACTTTTCTGTGTTTTACCGTTTTCAGGTTTGAAGAAACAGAAAATTATGAATTATGAAAAGAGCGAGGTAATTTGTACAGAATCTATTGTTTATGATGTCAACATGACGAATACCAATGAAGGCAGGGGGAGGAATCTTGTTTTGCATCTTTTATGAACAGCATAGAGCAGCGCTTATAGTACACTGACTTGGCCCAAAAGTTTTATACTCAGCCAGAACAACAATAATGATGGCACTATTCCTAATTAGGGATGGGTACCGGTATCGTTCTGACATTGTAAGTGCGCATGCGCCATTAGCGTGCTGCCTGCTGTAACCCTAATTTCCCTCGGGATGAATAAAGTATTCTGATTCTGATTCTGATTCTGATTAAACGGTAGTAACCAGACCGAAAAGCAGCACACATTTCGGTGCTTTTTTTTCCTGAGCTGTGATACACTTTAGATTCTAGCCAATCATTTTACGTTTCCGAGGATAGTAGGCGGGGCCAGGTACGTACGTTCTTTTAGAGCAGAGCTACAGATTAAAAATGCCCAAGGCGAAGCGGTCAAAAGTCTGGCTGTACTTCACAGCAAAATATGCAAACTCAGCAGCCTGCAACAAGTGCTTTAAGCTGATACTGTGATACTGTCAAAGGAGGTAACACCTCGAATCTGATGAAACACCTGGCGACGCATAGCGTTTTTTTTAAAAGCCCAGAAATGCGCCGTATTTGATAGCTTGCTGCGGGACCTCACACCGAGCACATCTACTGCAGGTGTGGTGTCTGTTATCGGACCTGGAGTTAGCAACATCCTCCAAAAACCCGAAGAGTACAGTCCAGATCCCTAGCCCTGCCAGTGTAGCAGAAATGATGACGGATGATGACGGCAGCAGCAGCCGTTCTTCTCTGCGTGAGTAGCTTAATGTTGTTCATGTGTAATTTACGCTGAGTAGGCTAACCACGTTATTACATTAATGCATGTAAGGTGAACTAGCAAACACCATCGTAGTTAAATGCGGCTGTCTTCTTGCTTGATGGCAGATACTCCCTTCACCCTGGCCAAAAATGACCAAAGAAAAAGTGGAAAACAGCTAAACATGAGAGGTTTTTCGACAACGTTTGTGTTCTCCATTCTTTAAGCACCGGTTTGAGCACCGTTTAAGCACTGGCACTGTTTCAAAAGTACCGGTTTGGCACCGGTATCGGATAAAACCTAAACGATACCCATCCCTATTCGTAATGCCTCATTCTATGCACTACATTACCCAGAATGGCTCCAGGCATTCTGGGTAATGTAGTCCTTATTATTACTATATATCAGGGATGGGCAACTCCAGGCCTCAAAGGCCGGTGTCCTGCAGGTGTTAGATATCACCGTGAGTTAACGCACCTGAATCAAATGATTAGTTCATTACCATGCCTCTGGAGAACTTCAAGACATGTTGAGGAGATAGGACATCAGCCCTTGAGGCCTGGAGTTCCCCCACCTAAAGGTGCTTATCTCAAACCTCAAGAGCTTCTGATTTCACAGGGTTACTTTCATCATTCTGTCTTTTCCAGATTGTTCTCTATGACAATCTTCTGACGTTGCCACCTGAAGAGTCAGTATACCAGAGCCTGGATCCAGCCAGCAGGGATGAAGACCAAGTGTACCTTACACTTAAACAGACATGAAAGCACAAATAATCCAGCATTCAGGCCTGAATTTATGTGTCACAACAGACACAGATTGATACAACAGACAACATCTTTAAACACTTCTTTATTCTTCACTTTACTAAAAGATAATGATTTTACAGATTGAGCATTATGATCATTATAATATTTTGGTTTAAAATAATTTCTCTTCTCATTCTGGTGCAAAATTAGAGCTCATCTTATATTCAAAGGCACCACCTGGGGGTGCTGTAGGAGTAGTGACAAATATCAGGATTAAATAACAGCTCATCAAACTGATCTGTAAAGTTGCAAAGCAATAATAAACATTTGTATATTGGTATGTCTTCTTTCCAAACAGGTTTTCCAAACTCTGAGAACATCTGAGAACCAGAGGGGAAAACAAACCCTCCTACCCTAAAAACCACGAAGCACTCTGAGAGTGCAAACATCCACCAAAGTTTTATTAGAATTCACACAAACCTTTTTGAGTTATTGTGTTTACACACAGAAAGAATGACACACATGCATGTTAAAACTACCAGAAACATAACCTACTTGGAGATGGTTACAACAGAAAAAGAAAAAATAATTGCAATTTCATTTATTTATTTGGGGGGATTTTTTTTTTTTTGTCATCCACCCATTTTCTTCCGGTCCAACCTGGCCACCAAGATCTCTCCCTTGGCCCCCCCCTCTTCCAGGCCTGTCTCCTGGGCAGGGCCCTGGTAACCCTATCCCAGGCAGGGTGAACTGTTCCCTTGAGCTTACACTGATAAGTGCCTTTGTCGGGTCCTTCACCCAGACCAATTTGCCATGGGAGACCCTACCAGGGAACAAAAGCTAACTGTCAGCACACACCCTGGAACCTGTGGGAGACACAAACCCCGATTCATGGAGGGGGGATTTTTAGTTATGTTTATTTATTTATTTTTGATCTGTGATAATGGGTCGAAAAGAGAAGTATAAAATTGCCCCAAAATCTGGTCTGACTTTTTAATAAAGTAAATATGTCTGATGTTGCTGTGGAATGACTTCCAGCAGAAGACAAAACTTCATAAAAAGATTTAGACAGAATCATGACTTGACATCTGTTTTTGAAGCACCGCTATATTCTGTATCATGTGCTAACACATAGGATCCATGACAAAAACTGTATTTAAACATTATTTTCTTTTTCTTTATGTTTAACTTCTTCTTTAGTTAATTGGTTGTTGTTAATGGTTTTAAGCTCTTGTAAGTCTTTCATTACTACTAAAAAAAATGATTTTACTGAGTAAAAGATCCGAATTAACACAAAAACTCCACTTCTGAAATTTGTGAAGAAATTGCTCCAGGAATTATACTGGATCATTTGTCACCACATGAATTCTACATATTTGAACATTTAGATGGGGCTTTAATTTTTTATCCTTTCATTGTATTATATCAGTTAATACGATCAAATGCAGGGACTCAGGTGGTGAGGGTGGGCAGGTGCTTCTCCAACAGCATCACCATCAACACAGGAGCACCGCAGGGATGTGTCCTCTCGCCACTGCTCTACTCCCTCTACACTTCAGACTGTGTGGCCACCCACGGCTCCAACACCATTGTGAAGTTTGCTGACAACACAGTGGTGTTGGGTGCCATCTCCAACAACGATGAGGCGGCCTACATGGATGAAGTGAAGAATCTGGCATCGTGGTGCCAGGACAACCACCTCCAGCTGAACGTCAGCAAGACCAAGGAGCTGGTGGTGGACTTCAGAAGGGGTCAGCACAGAGACTACAAGCCCATCATCATCAATGGAGCTCCAGTGGAGAGGGTGCAGTCCTTCAAGTATCTTGGTGTCCACATCTCCTCAGACCTGACATGGTCTGCCCACATTCAGGTCCAGACCAAAAAGGCTAGGCAGCGCCTGTACCACCTACGACAACTGAGGAAGTTCAGGGTCTCTCCAAAGATCCTCAGGATTTTCTATACAGGCGCTGTGGAGAGCATCCTCACACAGAACATGACATCGTGGTTTGGGAACAGCTGTGTGAAGGACCAAAAAGCTCTCCAGAGAGTGATCCGTACAGCAGAACGCTGCTGCAGGATTGCTCTCCCCCCGCTTCAGGACACCTACACCAGGAGATGCCGGACTAGAGCAGCGCAGATACTGAAGGACCCGTCCCATCCTGGCAACAAACTGTTCCAACTTCTGCAATCTGGTAGAAGGTTCCGCATCATCTGGGCAAGGACAGAGAGACTCAAGAGGAGCTTCTATCCCCAAGCCATCCGTGCCCTAAACACACACACCCGCCCTCTCACATCATCTATAATTGACTGAGACAGGACTCGCTTCCAGACACTCTAAACCAAGGCACAATGTACATTTCAATTCCTTTAATTTTAAATATGTTTATATTGTCTATCCTGTAAAATAGTCAGATGTCTATTCATATTAATGTACAGAATTCACCTGCTTGCTGCTACTACTGCACATTCACCCAATGTACATACTATATGTATGTATATATATATATAATGTTCTTCCTCTACACCCCCCCCCCCCCCCCCAAATTTGCACATGTCGAGGAGCGTGTCAGGCTACATTTCACTGTGTGTTATACTTGTATAACTATGCATGTGACAAATAAAGAACCTTGAACCTTGAACCTTGAGTAAAGAGAGATGGGGAGGAGAGTAGGGCTGAGTGTGTCCTGTGTTTAGAAGAAGAACCCAAACATAAAAAGAACGAGACGCTTCGGGTTTGCCAGTGAAGAAGGACGAGGAGGTAGCGACAAACGATCAAAGCATCAAAATGAAAGTCTGCCACACTTTTATCGCCTTTATCTTCCTCAGTAAGTACATCCACCTCTTTGTTTCCTGTTGCTTTATTCATTTATTTATAGGTGATCTGTGGGTTATTCAACTATAATCAACAAATAGCCTGAAACATCCCCACCCACTCACAGAGTGTACCTTTCATTCTACACAAAGTGTGTTGTAAATAGTTCTACATGCCTTGTAGAGCTGGTGACGAAAAACATGTTTGTTTGTTTTTTAGACTAATGTTAAAGAGGAACAGCAGTGCGGCAGTAAACTGCTTATTGAGCAACACATCAAAAATCTAATTTCACGCTCAAAGACATGAACAGTGGGCAGCTTGTCTGACACTGATGCAGTTTCACAGGCTCCAGGCTTCTCTTCAATGTCTCCTTTTATTGTTGTGAATAAGTTAGAACAATCTTTTTTTAAGCATCTTCTACACAGCAACTGAAATGACATCAGTGGATCAGATGCTTCACTTTATGATTAGGACAAAACTAATCAGCCAACATAGCCTGAGATTGATAGGCTGAAATGTGAGGTTAAATAACCCTGTGTCTGTCTCATCATCCTCTTTAGCATCAGCTTTAGCTATTACCTTATCCCCCCTATCAACCGCTGTGATGAGCTGATGGTAAATGGACTGGTTCTTATATAGCGCTTTTCTACTCATCTGAGCACTCAAAACCTAAATCACAACAGAAGCCTAAAAATAAGACTCCCCCAAAACGGTGTGACCTTGACCTTGACCCGATTTTCACCAAACTTAAATCAGCTTGAGTTGTTGTTGTTGTCTGTCTTCACACAAAACATGATATCTTAAGAATCTAAATCTTAAGAATATGATAAGAATTTGAAGGATAGATTTCTAACTAGCACTCACAGCCAAGAGTGAAGCAGTAGGAATGAGAATCAGCCACTCCAACTCTGAGGCCATGGTCCTCAGCAAGAAAAGGGTGGGGTGCCCACTCCAGGTCAGGAACGAATTCATGCCCATAGTGGAGGAGTTCAAGTATCTCGGGGTCTTGGTGACGGGAGAAGGGAGCCGGAGATCGACAGACAGATTGGTGCTGTTGCTGCAGTGATGCGGACACTCTATCAGTCCACTGTGGTGAAGACAGAGCGAAAGAAAGATACAAGAATCGCAGATACAAGTGGCAGAAGTGGGCTTCCTCCAAATGGTGGCTGGCCTCTTCCTTGGAGATACGGTGAGGAGTTCAATGGAGCTGCTACTCCACATCAAAAGGAGCCAGTTGAGGTGGTTTGGGCATCTGATAAGGATGCCTCCTTGGTGCCTCCTGGGTGAAGTGTAACAAGCATGTCCCACTGGGAGGAGGCCACGGGGCAGACGAAGGACACGCTCCTGACTGGCCTGGGAACACCTTAGTGTCCCCCCGGAGAAACTGGAGGAGGTGGCTGGGGAGAGGGAGGTCTGGGTTCTCTCTGTTTAGGCTGCTGCCCCCGCGACCCGGCCACAATAAGCGGAAGAAGATGAATGGATGGATGGATTTCTAAAAAACAGACAAACAAATGGAACCAATTTGATACTGCCTCCCTTTGAGGGAGAATATAAGAATAAAGATATTGCAATGGCCCTGTTAAAGTCCAAACCTCAACCTGATTAAAATGCTTTGGTGGGACTTAAGAGAGCAGTGCACAAATGAATACCTGCAAGCCTCGACTGAACTGAGCCTACACTGTAAATAAGAGTGGGCCATATCTTTGTGTCCACAAAGATATGAAAGACTGATAAAACAAACACTTTTTATGTTAGAAGCAATGATTTCAGGGTACCACTGCTATGGTGGTTCAGCAAGCTACTCAATCACAGAAGTACACAGGGTCATGTGAAAATATTCTTTTTCATATGTGTAAGTTGTAGTAATTCTCTAAGACAACTGCAACACAGTATGGAGTTTTACTTTGGGCTACTGGTAAATTTTAAATTCAGAACTAATGTATCAAAAATCGTTGTATGATTTTTCGTGTCGGTTTTTTTTAAACAATTCTCAGCAATCTAGATCTTTGCGATCATGATTGACCTTTTTACGTAGAGTATCTGTAAACAGAATTGATTAGAACATTTTAAATAGTTTAAAATCAAAGCAACATGTGTATCTTTAAATATAAAGCAGTCTTGTCTTACATGAAGACAGTAAATAATGATTTTTCGTGTTTTCAGCGGCTCTGCAGGATGGAAACACTGGTGTTGTGGGTGCAGTCATTCCCATCCGCACTGGAATGGAAGGAGGAACCATCACAGTTGGATGCTCATTTACTCTGTCTGGAAGCAGGAAGCTCTTCTGTAAAGAAAAATGTGAAAAAGGAAATATTCTCATTGAAACAACAGATGATTCAGCCCAGAGTGGCAGATATAGTATTAAATATATAGAAGGATTTTTTCTCATTCATACAGTTGTCTATGTGAGCATCACTGAGCTGGAAAAGTCTGACTCAGGGCGGTACAGGTGCTCTTTGGACAGAACACCTTCAGATCACTTATCTTTAAACTGG